CCTTGCGATTTATCTTAACGGGGACATTCTGAAAGGCAAATCTGTTTAATGGGGAGAACTTTTTATATTATGAAAAAACATTTTCATTACAAGTGGTTTGTTTTTACCACTTCCAGCTTTCGTTGCTCTGTAAATGAGAAATCTCTGCTTGCAACATTCTTCATAAAGGAATTAAAAGTAATACCTAGAATTGTAATTTTCTTTCTTTCTGCTGTGGGTATTTCTGTAAGATTTCAGAATTGTGCTGATGCACTGAACGTGACCTACATAACTTTTAAATTAAGAATTTATGCCAGGTGGAAATTTATGAAATATTTTAGCATGAAAGAGAACCTTTTTCCCCTTAGGAAAATTAAACAATAAATCACCCAGCTTTCAATTTACTGCCCAAGGCTGGCCGTAGATAGCGTCCCTTCCCCTACATTGTTCTGGAAAAAAATATAATTGTATAAGACAGCTTAGCTTCTGTCCTCCTACTCTCTAGAATTTTTAATTTTAGCTGTTTCTGCTTGGATTTATTTCCAATATTCCTGCTTGGCTTTTCAATTTCCTCAGTTATTAAATTTTAATTCAGTGCATTAGCATTTAAATTAAAAAGGGGGTTATTTTATCGAACTCACTCTCCCCACAACCTCTAAAATGGCCTGTTTCTGCCATAGATGTCCCCCCCCCCCGTGAAATGCAGCCAGTCTCTTCTAATGTACGATTGTGCAGATTCATAGGGGTGGGGTTCAAGGTTTGAAATAATACTGTTTTTGAGGAAAACCTCTTTCAGATTTTTTTTTAAATGCCTCATAATTTTTATTCTTAAAAAGGCAGGGGGAATTTTAAATTACAAGTATTTGAAACTGCAGTTTTATCAGGGAGTCAGTATTTAAGGAGCGGTTTGGACTTTCTGAATTCCAGGGAGCGTGGCCAATTTGGAGGGGGGAGCCGACGATTCTACTGATTATAATGGTGCATTCACAGATTTCTACCGTTGATGGGAGGTATGCTTCCACGTACAAATTATTCTGTTCCAGAAATACTGAAATTTTTCTGCACAGAATTTTTCCTTGTGACACGATTTTCTTCTGTTTTCTGGTTTCTAGCCCTTGTGCTTTGTCCAGATGGCTCTGTGAGAGGTGGGCAGCGCTCTGTAAAATTTCAGAGGCTACAGGGGAACTTGTGTGACTGGGTGGCTCTCCCTGTCATCTCCCTTCCCACCTTTGAAGGTCGCGGGGATCCTCTCCTTGGCCCCCTGCCTCCTTGGCCTGATGCGGCTGCACGACGCGGGCCCCAGAGCCTTGTGCTTAGAGCCGCTGGGTACCATCCTGCCCTGTTCATCTGCCGCGGTACCTAAAGAGCACTCCCGCTGCGGGCAACCTCTTGCTTGGGGCTGGAAGTTCCTGCCCTTCACTGGTTGCCTCAGGAACCCTGGCACAAAAAGGTGTAATGTCTCCCGGCAGAGCTCAGAGGCACGGCTTTCTTGGCAGCAGTGCAGAAGTGGTTAATTTTCAAAGTTTCCCAAAGTAATCTTGGTGTTCCCTAGTGGTCTCCCATCCCGGTGCTGACCCTTTGCATACTTTGGGGTTGTATATCTGGATGTAATTGATGGCAGGAGTCACAGCAGAACTAGACGAGGGGCCTTTCTTGCTTTTCTGAAATCAGCCAGTGAGGCAGGAGGGCGGAGAAAACAGCTGTGAGGTCCTTGCACACTTTCTCTCTTTCCACAAGGGATGTGGCGGTTCTGTCCACTTATCTCACCCCCCCCTTTTATGCAGCGCCACCGTGAGCCGTGGTCGCCGCTCTGGTTCTTCCTTCCTCCGCACCCCACAGCAGTAGCAGGGAGCTTCTCTTTGGCTGGCCGGTTGGGGGGGAAGCAGCACATGCTCTGATTTCATCAGGTGTCGTCACCACTGGATCCCCTCCTCTTCCTTTCGGCAACCGATTGGAAAGAGATCGAAAGCAAGTAAACGGAAACGCTTCTTTGCGCAGCACAAAACTAATCTGCAGAATTCATTGCCATTCATTGTGACGTGGTGGTGGCCACGAGCTTGGGTGGATTGAGAAGACGACTGGAGAAATGTGTGATGGGGGGCTGTCAGGCTTGAGACTCAGTGACCCTTCTGGGTCGGGGGCATCCTGGCTGCGTCTCCACCTCCTGCTGACGAGCGCTCGGCTTTTCCTCGGGACCACGGGGCCGTGTCACGGAAGGCCGCTGCTTCGGGAGGACGTTAATTTGTGCCCGGGCGTAATCATTTCCGATGCGCGCTTTGTGTCCTTTGCCGAGTCCTCTCCAGGACCTGACCTTGGTTCCTCTCATCCTGCTTCTCTTCTAGGTTGAGGGCGGCGGCGGCAGCAGCAGCAGCAGCAATGTTGGGACAAGAGCCTCTGTGGGCAGGTAGGTCAACCTCAGGAGCACCGTGCGACTTCAGGCCTCAACTAGCGCAACTGCCATTGGAAATGTTGGATCTTGGAGTTGTCATTTGTCCTGTACTCTGTTTCGATCTGGTTCTGACTCTGGCTGAAGCTCGCGACCAGCTGTGCCGGGCCTGTTAGCTTCTGGTTGGACCCCGGGCCCCTCTCTCCAGAGAGCTTGGCTGCCGTAGGGCCTGGATTGGAGCGCGCTCCGAGTCGTGTGGCTTCGTCCTGCCCCAAAAGATGACTGGAGGAGAAGGGTTTCCTCTTCGAGAGATGGCGAACTTTCAAAGCTGATTTAAACATTTGAAAGATTATTTCTGCCTCTGAGCCAGCCTCCCTGATGCTTCCCTCTTTCTCCCCCTGCTTTTTTCCTTGCTGCTCGTTCTCCACTTTACAGTATCTTTTGTCCCTTTCGGCATCTGAAACATGAAAAGGGGAAAATAATTTGCTTTTAGCCATCAAAACCATCTTGGTTGCAGTTCTCTGCCCAGCTCGGTGTTTTTCGAAATGTTTGGTAATTCTTTAGAATTAAGTTGTTGCGCATCCAACAGTACTGTGAGCTGCTGAAGAGGAGAATAGCGCTTGTTATTAAATTAATAAAACACTGAGGCAACTTTCCTTGTAGGAGATCTGTAAAGCCCTTTTTGCCTCACTCTGGGTGAGATTTGCATGAAATCCTGGACTCCTCAAGGCGTGTGTCGATTTGGTTGCCTTTTGAAAATTGTGCAACACGTTATTCCTAGCTGGAAGAAACGTCGTCTTATAATGGGATGCCCCCTCTCGGAGGGGAGTGGGGTGTGGTCCTAAGGAGCTGATTTTGGTATTCGTATAATAAAGTATTCCGTCACCTTGCCAAGGTTGCGAGCAAGGCTTTCCAGCCACGCTTGGGGCCCCTGCAAAGGCCTGGGCCTGAAGGCGTCTGCTCGGGAAGGAGGGTTTGCCACGCACGGTGGTCCTTTCCTAGAGATGCCTGCCTGCGCCTTTCCCAGCTGTCCAGCCTGCCAGCTCCAGTTGTTGGCTGGCGTTTAAAGATTGTCTCCCCCTTCCTGGCTACAGATAGATGTAGGAGCAAGTTCTCAGTTTTCCTTTTTCTCTCCTTCAAATTCAGCCCCTTCTGGTAACACTGCCTTAAGTAAGAACTTCAGTACAGCGATAAAAAGTCACGTACGCGAAAGAGTTGGGTTAGGGCAAGGTCCTGACTGATCTTGTTCCTGTTTCCTTTGATAGTTGGAAAGGGATATGGGAAGGGACGTACCTGAATTCCTGTTCACGTGATGAGTTATTAGTGGTCTATAAGCAGTCTTCAGCCCTCCTCCCTTCATCATTCCCTGTATCCCAAGCAGATAGTATTCAGAGGTAGGCTGTTTGAACGTAGCGGCTCAGACAAACTTGTCTAATACCCATGAAGAGTTCTCTTCTTTCTCCTTGAATGTATCGAGCCCTAGAATATTTTGAAGTTGGTAGCTGCCAACCCTTGGGGATGAAAACTCCAGACTGTAATTCCATTTTATAAGAAGAAGTGTTTCCTTCCCAGGTAGCATCATTGGTTGATCAGAGGGGTAGTCCTAGAAATGTGGGCTACAACCTGCCATTTTTGTCAGCTCTTACATAGAATATTTTTCAGCAAACCCGTGGCTGATGAATAGGTGTACCCTCTTGCAGTCCTCCTAACACCAAATGGATTTCATGCTTGTGGGGTTCTGCACTTAAACAAAACTGTATTTATGGTCAATTTGCAAGCTGAATTTTTTCACGTAGTTTTGTTGCCTCAGGTAAACCTTTAGCACACCGAATGTCTTGATGGGGGTCCAGTACTCTGATGAAGTATTACACTGTTTCCATTGGAGCTGAGGACTTGTGGCTTTTCCTACCAGCACAAACCGAGCCCACGTGGGGACAGTAGAGCCCTCCTTACATTTTGCAGAAGAGGCAGTCGAGAGACTGTTCCTTTTCTGTAGTCCATGGCTGTGAGTCCTAGAGTTACGGAACGGGTGGACAGTTCCAAGTGAGTCAATCCGGAGTGCATTCAGAAGTTTTTAGTTACTAAACGCAATGACGAACCATTTGTCTGGCATACAAAACCATTTTTAAAATAAAACAAAAACAAAACAGATCTGTGGAGGCATTTAACTTGTTCATAATTCAGGGGCGTGTAGAGTAAAAAGTCACGTGGCCCTAAGCTTCAGACCGTCTGAATAGATGATGCTTCCTTGAGTTACTTCAATTTGTGGTAATCAGCTCTTTGAGGCTTAGAGCTCTGTTTTCTCTCTCCTCACCCAAGAGAGCGCTTGAAGAGGACCCAGAAAATTATGAAAGCAGAAGGTTGCGATTCAGCCATGCCTCAAGCATCACCTAATGAAGATGCCGCAGCAATGACTGAAGTGAAGGTGAAGACAGAAGTCCCAGATGACTATATTCAGGAGGTGATCTGGCAGGATGACCCAAAAGAGCCGAAGAAGAACTTGAAAGGTGGTGGGGTGGCCGAGGTGCCTGCAGAAATTTGTGTGGTGATTGGTGGGGTCCGCAACCAGCAGACTCTCGGTAAGCTAGGTCGGTGGTCCATTGGCTTAACCTTTTCTTGCCAGGGATGGGTTGGGGTCCATTGAGATGGCGGGGGGCAGGGGCTCTTGAGTTTGGTGGCTGGGTTGGCATGAGGTTGAGGCCCAATGGGTCTCTTGATTGAGTGTAGTTCAGGTAATAAGTGTGTAGAGAAACAGTTTGGAAAGAACAGGGCAGGCCCTGCATGCTGGTGGAGTAACTGCGGTTTCCAGGTTAAGAAAATAATCAGTCAAATGAGATCTGATCAATAATCAGTTAAACTGCATTGTCTGTGTTTGCCTTAAAATGGTTTTTAAGTGGGGAGAAAATACGTTTCCTTTCCAGCGAAAGTCACAGCAGGCATCGTCTCAAAAGAGGCATTCCTTGCTATCTGAGAGGAAGAGGAGGATGGCACACTTTGGGGGAAACTAATATTATGTAATCCTGTAGTCTGAGGCAATGGGGACACGTTAGAGGCATATGAAACCTTGCGTGATGCAGAAAATAAAGTTTCTCTCCCTTTCTGACCATGTTAGAATTCAAGGTCATCTATTAACACAAGACAAGTCAGGAACAATAAAAGAGATAACTTTTTATCTAACACACAAACTCTGGAATTTATTGATTCCAGATATGCTGATTAGCAACTGTTGGGACACTTTAAAAAGAGACTGACTAAACTGATGGCTGGTAGGGCCCTTGGTAGCTGCTGGTCTTAATGGCCCTAGGCTACCTCACAGGAGCATCCTTGAAGTACCAGCTAGTTCGGAACAAGACTTAACAAGAGTTCTTGTTTTCTGCCCTGCTTGGGATCTTCTCAAGTGCTCCTGTTCAGGCCCGGGCGCTCCAGAATGCTGGCTTAGATGGACGTTGGTTTCTTTGTAGTTCCAAGTGTGCCCTTCATTAGTGGTTATATAAGAATATTCCTCCGTGGGAGTGCACTTGCACCTTCCCTGTTGTTCCCTGAGTCTTTTCCCCCACAGCAGTTGTCTTGTCTCCAGGGAAGCAGTTGCGGGTGCATTCAGGAGTGAGGAGAAGATGCAGGGCGGTTACAGAGGAGGCTTTCCTCCATGAGTCCCTTGAAAATCACTCCCTGACCTCCAGTTCCCTTCTGGAGGAGAAAAAATAAACAAACACAAGGAGGTGGGAGTGTGTGTGAAGGAACTTGTGTGGGCAAATGGCCAGGAGCGAAGAATTTAGCAGCTTCTCTTTCCTAAAGCCAGGGGAATTTCTGGGTGATGAAGGCAGCTGCAGACGCGGGCACTGCTTTTCTCTTGGTGTCTCGCGCTGTCTCCGGGAGACTCAGGAACGGGTGGAGAGCTCTTCAAAGCATCAGCATCGCACCAGTGAACAGGAGAGGAGCTCCTGGCTCTCCCGTGGGCTTCCTCCGAACCCGGGTGCCCCAAAGAGCAAAAGAAATGCTCTTTTACATCATTAACATGTGGATTTCATTGACACAAGATACTTGTGAGCCTCCAGAGGTAACGATCAACCACTCTGGAAAACAAGGTGCCGATTCTTTTCCGGGTGCCTATGGCCAAGAGTTGGATCAGAGGACTCCTTAATGTCATTAAGTAACAGGACAGTTTCAGGCAGAGCAAGACCAGCAGCGTGTTGTCCTGCGTGGGTAGATCATCCTTCATGTTCAGAAGCAGTCTACCTTGGACAATCTGTTCTCTTTCTGGCTTGCTGGTGTGTTTGTGTGGACAGTATAATGCTAGAGTTGAGATTGATCCAGAAGACAGTTCTTGGCATTTAAAACTAATAGCCTTGGGAATTTGGTAAATCTAGCCCAGAAGAGTTCCTCCCGTCCTTTCTTGAAAGCCTTCAGAGATGGGAACCCACAACCGGAGAGGTTTTTTTTACTTCAGCCATTCTCCTCTTCTCCAGCTTCCTTCCGTTAGCTGCTTGCCTCTTTGTGCCCTGGCCTTCTGCTTCGTCTTTTCTTTTCATATCATGACACCTCTCCTCCTCTGAGCGAGGGCCCCCAAGTCAACTCTTGTTACTTTGGGCCAGGCCTTTCCAAGCCAGCTCCCAGAAAAACCCAGCTTACAGGGTGGTTCAGGCTTTTTCCCAGGGCCGCTTACAGTATGAAAACAGCACATAATAAAACCTCTAGTTACAGAAACACTTGGCTATCCCACTTTTTCAGCTGAAAGCCAGAAAGGGGGAATTTTTTTTTTTTAAACAGCAGTGCGTGGTGGATAAGGTGTTAGACTAGAACCAGGGAACCCCGGAAGCTCCCTGGGGGATTTCCTCTCAGCCCATCCTGCCTCACAAGGCTGTTGTGGGGAAAAGCTGGAGGAGTAAGTGTGGTATACATTGCCTTGAGTTTGTGGAGGAAAGACAGGGTATCAATCTAAGACAGCCTCAGTAAATAAGCAGGCAGTTTGAACTTCATGCTATTTGAGTAGGGCTGTGCTTAAAGACTGTTTGGAAATGGAGGCAGAGGAGGGGAATCAGAGCAGTTGGGTGTGTGATCCACCAGGAGAAACATCTGCAAGTGTTGATGTGCTGCTTGCGTGGCTCAAGTCCTCAGGATTTGAACGGCAGCCTTTGCCCTTCACAGCCAGCGATGTGCTTCTCGTGTGGATCCCAGTGAGAACTGCTAGGATGGCAGAGTTGGGCTTTGGGCTGGATGTGGTCATTGTAGCCCTTTTGCATGCTGTGTTTATAGTATTGTATTATATCCTTGGGGTTGTCTTAAAAATACTTTACTCTGAAAGGGCAGGGGATAAATGCATAATTCCTTAGGAAATAAAGCCTACAAGAGGGTATTCTACATGACTTAGGATCCACCTCAGTTTCAACCTGGCAGGGGGATTGTGAATTTATCTGCTCTTTGGATCTATACACCAGAAGTCTTGAAGGTGAAGCAAAGATGGACCTCCTGAGGCTGGTCTGGAGATGATGGAAATTGTGCTCTGCTTCTGGAGGGTGCCAGGAGGAGGAAGCTGGTTCTTGAGACTTGACATTATGTATTTCATCCAAACGCCATCACTTTAAATATGATTTAGGTTTGAGTGCTCTGGTAGAGAGAGAGTTCTGTCTCTGTTTACAGCTGCTCTAATAGGTCTGTCTGATTTTTTTTTCAGGGTCATATGAGTGTGGAATATGTGGAAAGAAATATAAGTACTACAATTGTTTCCAGACCCACGTTCGAGCACACAGAGGTATTGATCTCTTGTGCACTATAATTAAGAAACGTGGGTGGGAGGGCATTAGTCCCCTGAAGTGTTCTTGAGATAGTATTTGCATTCATAAATTGGGGTTCCCAGGATTTCCTCCAGTCACATCAGTGCTCAAATGCCACAGCCCATTTAATGTTTTGTAGACAAATCAGAGAAATATGTTACAGATTAGTGAATTTATGTCCAATCAGGATACTGAATGAAGTAACCATGGGGGGAGGAAGGAGAAAATGCTGGGCATAGCAGAAAAGCCCCACCTTATTGATCGTGTAGCAGTTTTAAGACAGAATGCTGAAGATGTGAGGCACCTTCAATTAAATTAAGCCATACAGTGTATGCTCACAGAGAGATTTAAATTGGATCAAGGGCTGCAAAGAGCAAGCTACAGGAATTGCTGTCGGTCTGTTCTCTTCCACTGATCAACCTCCTTCTCCAGCATCAAGTCAGTATTTACTTAGATGAGCCTCCAGCACTGATGGGAACGCAGAACCCCTTTGACAGGTAGAGGGGAGAAGCCTTCGTGCTTAAGGACCTTCTCATTAGCGTGGCTTCTCTTTTCTTGGCTTCCTGCTTCACTGCAGAATATTAAACGCCACTAAGGACAGAAAGCCCCCCCCCCCACCACACACACAGTACATCCTAAAAGTTGAAATATTGCAACGGGACGTGCGGCTCTACCACTTTCATGAGCCAAATCAATGACGTAGATTTACGTGGCCCGTTTTGCATAATTTTGCCTCCTCACGAAGGGAGGGGATTCGGATGTTGCCTCTCCAGGCCCTGCCAAGGAAACCAGCGCACCCTCAGAACTTGGCTGTCAAGGGAGGGGCTCTCCCTGCATGAGATGGGGATCTTGAGGCCAATTTATCCCAGACAGACAAGTCCCTTTGGCATCGGATCTGGGAGGGAAGGAGGCCTTTGGGCCTCAAGCTTGCAAACAAGGACGAGAATGGGAGGGCGCTTATTCCTAGGCATACCTTTCCAGTGCGGTTCTTCATCTTGGGCTTTCTCTTCGCTTAGACACAGAAGCTGCATCAGGCGAAGGAGCCTCCCCTGGAAGTAAGTACAAGTGCGCTTCTTGAATATGTGGAGTGGAGGTGGAGGTGATGCTTTGCAAGCAAAAGGTTCCAGTTCTGATTTCTGGAAGAGGAAAGGGAAGGCCTCGTTTTGCCCAGGATACCCGAGAGCTGCTGCCAGTCAGGGTCCACAGTGTGGGCTAGATGGACCAAAAGCTGACGTGAAGCAACAGAGGTCGGCTGTCGCCAGTCTATTGCAGAGCACCCTCGAGGGGCCAGTTGGGAAAGCCCCCTTTGCTGCCAGCTGGTCTGCGTGAAATGCAGCCGCTCTGCTGTGGCACTGTGTGCTAGTGAAGAAGAGGCGCCATAGTTTGGCGGCTTTGTGTTTTTCTTTTTCTTGTCTTGTGTCCACGCTGGCCTTCTTTTCCACTGCTTGATCTCTCTGTTTTGTATTTTTTGCTAAATTGTTTTCTGTGTTGGAAAAATACTTCAACGAAGGAAGGAAACAACCCTGTCAGTAATCAGGATAACATAGGACCAGTGGGCTAGTTTTCCTTGCTTCTGATCCTCTTTTCATCTGGGTACGATTAGGGATGGTTATCACCACAAGGACGGGGGGGAAAGAACTTCAGTGACTCTACCACTGTGCCCCCTCTCCCCAAAAAATATCAGAACAAGAAAAATACTGTTTTCCATGATTTGGAGGATGGATTTTCTCTCCTCCAAAATTCCTTGGGGTCAAGAGTTTTAAAATCCATAAATGATTTTGAGCCCCTGAGACAATGCCAGTCCTTGCTCCAGATTAGAACTGGTGGCATTTGTTGGGGTTGAGGTATACTAAGACCGGAGAGCAACAGACGAGCGTGTTGGTTGAAAGTACAGAGGCTCTTAGAGGGTCTGTGAATGGGGGCTCCTTGGGGAAGCCCTTGGTTCTCCTTGGAGTTTCTCGAACTTTGTGCTCTTTCCTCCCCACAGATAACTTTAGGTACACGTGTGACATTTGTGGGAAGAAGTACAAATACTACAGTTGCTTCCAAGAGCACAGAGATCTGCATGCAGTGGATGGTGAGTGTCAATGTCTGGATCACTTGGCAGGAAGAGGACAGTCCTCGTTCTCGCAGAATGCCGAGCAGGAGCGCAACCAGCTGGCCGGCCTTGAGCTCGCTCAGCCCGCGTTCCCATCCTTCAAACGAAGCTTGATTCAGGAGCTGGAAAGTGTGAACGGCCAGGTTTATGCAGCGGCTTATCAGAACAAGCTGGAATTGCTGTTTAACCCTGGTTTGTTTCAATCTTAATTTAAGCCAAACATGGCTTGAGTATAGTAGTTGTTTAAAGTAAGGAGTAGAGCTTCCCATCCCCTGCCAAGGAAAGGGAAAGAAGACGAGGCGGAGGCAAGCCTGTAGGCCTCCCAGACTCATCCTCAGAGCCCTTAGTTATCGCTTAGTGCTGTTAGTAGGTAAACCAGGCCAGTGGTTTATAGAAGCTGGGGAGGGGAGCTGTTTTTGCCTTGCTGTCGTTGACACTGTTGCGCAGTCCTAGGCTATAGCAAAGTAACACCTGCAAAATGCCAAAATCCAAGGAAACTCACTAGAATTGTTTATCTACATGTACCCAGCTAGTTGAGAGGCAGAGGCAGAAGCAGCATGCTGTTATTACCATACAACTTCTGGCAATAAAGTTGCACCCAGGGGAATTCTGGCTAAAATGATTCCACTTCACAAGTCAGAATATTAACTAGGTATTCCAATACTTTGGGAAACTTTGGCTGAGGAACATTTGGGCAGTTGCAGTGGGATTTATTCTATTTATGTATCAGTATTTTATACTATCACGTTCCAAAAGACTCCTCCGTAAAGCGCAACGAACAATAAAAGCAAATTCAGCCACGAGTCAGTTTAAATGTCCATTGGTGTCAAATCCTGTTGGCAACTATTTACGGGTCAGAGGCTCTGAGAAATGCTACTATTTTAATAGCCCCCCCGAAAGACCTTAGGGAAGTTGCCAGCTGAACTCCAGGGGTTGGTTTCATCCCATCCAGACTCCCCCGGCCTCCAGGCACCAGTTCGAGACCCTCCACATCTTCGGGTTGGCCCAGAGTAGAGAGGTCTAACTGGATGGTTGTGTTCAGGCCTGAACCCTCGTCTGCTTTATCTTTTCTTTAATAAATGACAAGTTTAATAAAACATGAAATGTATCTTTATTAACAGATTTATTATTAAACAAAGCAAGTCTAATAAATTATCATCATCATCTAGGGTGCTCTATAGCTGACACCCCCCCCCCTTTCTCAACCATCTGATGCAAAACAAGGAGGGGTAGAGACGGGACAGAAATTGTCGAGCGTGGCTGAATCCAGGGACGGTCTGGTCAGGACAAGTGCGCTGCCACCTCCTTTAAGCGAGCTGGCACACTTGCTTCTCCCAAGGAGGCATTAATAAACTCATGGATCCAGCCAATCAACCCCCCCCCCACTGCCTTATCCAGTCAGGAGGGGCATGGGTCCAGCCCATGTGGGGTGGAGCTTCCTTGTAGTACACAAATGGAGATGAGTCCCAGCTAACATGGCAAGGCACTCCAGTTACCTCCTTTAGCCCCACCTCTGCAGAATCCAGACTTGAGTGAATATGAGCCTTTGTATCAGCTCAACATTGCGCACCCGTTGGCGGATCATCTTCCTCACCCCTCTCCACAGGGACAGGGCATCTTTAAACAAGGCCACTAGAAAGCCGCCTGTTGCCGCACTGATGGCAGAGAAGTATCAACGCTTCCCCACCCTTACTGCACTGTGTAGACTTGAATATCTATGCTTGTCAGCATTCCCTCGGATTGGCTTTGGGTCATCCTCGACTGGCACGTGCGTCCCAGGATCAGCAAGCCCAGTGTGGCTGCTTAGAGGCTGTGGTCACCTCCATATTCCAGGTTGACCAAGTCATGCAGATTGCTGGGGAAATCCCGTGAGCCAGCCAGATCCATCTGGATCCATAAGGCAGTTGGGGCAGACCATCTTAGTCTGTTGCCAAATCCTGCAGGTATCGCAGGAGGTGCCGTGCCTTAACCGGTCAGGAAGTGAGCGTACCACAGCAGAAGACTAGCAATAGTCTTCAGATCAGAAGCCAGCTGCTTTAACATATGACAGCTGGTACGAGTCAGGCCCAAGAGAAGCCTGGGGTTGCCTGTGAGTTTCCCCAGGCACAGAGGTTGAGATCCACCAACCCCAGTAGTTGGGGAGTGTTCAGTAGCCCCTGGCGATAGGGTCCAGGAGCTCAGGAAGAGATGTTCCCGCAGACCTTCGGCCCTATTACCTGTAGCAGAGGGCCCATCGTCACAACCAAGAAGTCCCAAAGGGTCATTGCCAGACACACACACACACACACACACACACAGCGCCTTGGAGCCACAGTTAAAGGGCAGTCGCTACAAAGACTTCTGGTGTGGATGCAGTGGCTGGATTTCTAGCCGCAGCAGCAATCCTCTGTCTTTAGGGAAGGCCTCCTTTGGTGGATTGCAGAGCTTATATCAAGGCTCTGTTTCTGGATAAAATACTTTGCTCTGTGTTGAGGACAGCAGTGGCTCAGGATGGTTCTCTTGAACCCCCAGCCCATCAGTGCTTGGAATTTTAAGATGGAGGGAGAGCATGCACCCCCAAAGCAAGAAGGCCTGTTTCTGCACCAGCATGGTTCCTTCTCTCCAGCTTTTCCATTGAGAACAAACCCTGCTAGTTGACAGCTGTGCTTCTGCTCCCCGGGAGTGCGTGCTGTGCGCAGGTGCTGATTCTTAGGCTGGGTCCGTACATTGCTGGCTGTTCGATTCTTAGTCCTGTTGGGCTCCAGCCTTCTGTTCCGGATTTGGTGACTGGGAGGATAGAGCTTCAGAGAGCAGGCTGGAAACCCTGCCTTCTTGTGATTTGAAGCACGTGTAGGTGTGCGGTGGTTTATCCGCTCAGCTGGTAGGAAGAACGTCTGTCTCGTCGATAGGAGAGTGGTGGGGCATCTTGGTATATATAGATTGGTTGTGGCTTTTTTGGAACTGTTTTGATTCTTGTAAGAATGGCTGCAGTTCTTTGCAATTAAGTTGTCGTGCTTTAAAAAAAATTAGTGCAAATTTTATATCCTGCATTGGAAATGTGCAGCTTTAAAAAAAACCCTAAGCTTGTCATTTAGTCACTTTAATGGGTAGATTATCAAGAAAAAAATATAATCAGTGAAAAATACGATACATTTGCAAAATGTTTGTTAGCCCATAGAAACCATTACCACAACAGTGCCTTGGTTCTTTTCTTGTTCTTTTTGCTTATAATCTGTTTAGTCTTTTCTTGCTTTTTGCCCAAGTTTTAAACAAACTTTTAAAAAGCTTCAAACAGGATCAAGAGCACCTGAAATGTTGCTCGCGTTTACTTTATCAAGCTTCTTACTCCTTCATTACCAATTCTGCTGAAGGTGTAATCCATGGCAGAGGATGAGAGTAGGTCCTGAGTGATACAGAAAGAAAGGGAGAGGTTTTCACGTGCCCCGATCAGCTCTCTCCTCCTTCTCTCCTCTTGCAGACCCCTACGACCAAGCAATGATTGCCAAGGAGGAGGTGAAAGAAGAGGAGCCTGAACCCTTTCAGAAGATTGGTCCAAGTATGACTTACCAAGTTTGCAACTTAAGTAATTAATTAGCTTTCAGCATCTCAAATCTGAGGTTTCAGGCCCAAGCCAGGCACGGACCAGTTGTCACAGAGGCAAGATGCTGTAGCTGTAGCCACAGAGAAGAGCGCATTCTTTGCCTGTGCAGGACCCCAGCTCTGTTTCTCCTGGCATTGCTGGTGACTCAGCCAGGAAAATCTTCCTCTGATGTATCTTTTACTGAGGTTCACAGAACTCATTTAAGAAGCACCAATAGAAAGTCCTAGGTTTCCCGAAGTGTAGCAAGCTGAGACCTGGAAGCTGCTCGGTATCTTGTCTGCTCGTTGGTCCATCTATCCCAGTACTGTTGGCACTGACTGGCTGCAGGGCTCTTTCCCAGCCCTGCCCTGAGATGCAGGGGGTGAACCTGGACCTTTTGCACGCAAAGCAACAGCTCGACGCTCGGACGGTGGCCATTCGGCATGAGACAAGCACCCTGCTTGCCAATACCGCTCCTAAATAAACAGAAAAGTAGTATTCCCCCTTGGACACAGGGAAGAAACAAACACGGTTTATTTGGGGAATATTAAGAATGTACTTGGTTAACGTTACATACTTTTATAAGCATCTGGTTAACAAAAAATCCAATTTGCCCAGAGTATTTAGATGGAAATATTGTATTGCAGAGAGAAGGAATTAAGCGCATGTTATTTATTTTAATCATTATATTCCAACATATGCAAAACATTATTTGGAAAACATTCCACTTGTGTTTCACATGTTTCCCTCACACATTAAGTTTAGTACTCACAAGGAGCTCTTTGTTAAGAGGGAAGATATTGCCTAAGTATTGTACTCTAGGATAAAAAAAAAGTCAATTAAAACTTTGCAGTGCTCTAATTTGACTGCTACTGTATTCCTTGTTATGTTACTAAGTTTTCTTCTAGAATAGAGGGAAAATTGCCTGCGTGTGGGGGGGAATATCGAAACGAGAAATGCTCTTGATCTAAGACAATAACTACTCCTTATAAGCACTGATTTTTATTAGAGGGTGTCTCAGCCTTTCCGGTCTATGATGGCTTATAGGCCCTGCTCCCAAATGCCAGTTCTACAAAAGGGAGATTCCGGGTCCTTCCTGCAAGATCTGCCATTTGGCCATTCCTCTGTAGCAGCTGTTTCTTTTCAGCTTTCCAGGAAAGGGAGTTGGGGCAAAACAGAGGAAAGTGACTGCCATTGAGGTGGTGCCCAGAGGCCCCTTTGGTCAAGAAAAATTGTAGTTCATTTTATGAGGCAACGTGGGAAGTGTCCACCCTGCTTTGCTCTGAACCGAGACCCATGTTTGGGTCAGGAGGTTATGGGAAAATCTTTTCTTTGAAAATTGTTCTCTTGCTTTGCAGAAACAGGCAACTATACCTGTGAATTCTGTGGCAAGCAGTATAAGTACTACACACCGTACCAGGAACACGTGGCCCTTCACGCACCAATCAGTGAGTATCCAGCTGTGACATGGCAGCAAGGGAGAACCTGGGATCCAATATCTTTCAAGGCAAAGGCTGGACAGGCAGAGACCAAGCTTGCAATCAGAGTGATCAGGAGGGACAGACCAGCACTAGCGTATATTCCTGATAGCGGTACATTTGGGGTGCACTTTGACAGATGTAGTCGTTCATATTGCAGTGCGGATATTCAGGCCAGATGGCCTGCATTTGTTAATACTATTATTCTATGAATAAAATTATACATACACTTTGTACCTTAGAGATTTTTGACACTGTAGATATTTCAGCTGGACTGGTCAGCTGCTTAATGCTTATATAGCATAGCTGGTCTCTCAGTAAATTGAGATATTTAAAGGTGTGGGAACCCCATCTATCTACTTGGTAGCCCTCAACTTATTCCCTTGGGTCCCTTTCTCCTCTCTGTACGTGTGCCTGGACAAATGGGTGAGCTGAGTGCCTCTGCCCACCACCACCTCTTTATGTAAGCAACCCAGGGTTCTTTGTTCTCTGGATCAACTTGGCAAACTTGGCCAGTTAAAGCCTGCTAGAACTTTGCTTTTGACATGACTGGTTGGGAAGCCCCAGAAGTAGGACTGAATGGCACCTGCATCCTTCAGCTCAAGCATCTGCCCTTCATTGCCTTAGGCAGTACGTAGCCCCATGACAACCAGTCACCTCTATCCCCTTTTTAGTCCATTGAGGTCAGTGGCCATCACCTCATCCCAGGGAAGTTCTGCAAGTTAATGTTAAGTTACCTGAGGAAAGACATCCTTTGGCCCATCCTGAACCGTTGGGGCTACTGTTTTGAGAGGGAGAAAGGCATCTTCCTCTTCATGTCTGCACCCCAGCATGTTGTCCTTTTTCTAGCCTGAATAGCCCCAGCCTTGTAATCTGGGAATTTTGTTTGGAAGAGCTGCCTGCATAGGCTTCTCATGCAGATTGGTGGCATCAGATTCAGTGCATTTCTTCGGTTTTCTTACGGTGCGGAGAAGATTGTCTGCGGTCATGTGCCTTGATTGGGGCCACCTTGATAGAGTTCGCTGAGCCCACAAGCTGCCCATCCCATGCCGTTCCAAGTGGAATTTTGGAGGTAGACCACCTCCTACCCTGGAGGTCCTCGTTAGCCCTCATGGCCGACAGCCATCGATAGACTTGTTTTGCCTCCTGTCGAAGGCCTTAGCCCGTGGCGGCAGTTCCCTTAAATTAGTGGCACGTGATGTGAAGAGGTCTGTTCGTTCTCCCTCCTGTCCTGTGTCTCCTGTCAAGCTTTCTGGGCTACCCTAGTGTTGCAAGAGGGAGAACAGCTTTGTGCTCTGTTCTGTGTGTAGTTTTTTTCCTGAAAGGCCCCTCCTCAGTGTGTCCCTTCCCCCCAAAGTAATGTCCAGGTGTTTTCAGTGGCGCTTTGGGATTGTAGGCAGCCCTGTTGGTCTCTCTCTCTCTCCCCACCCTCCTGAAATTCCCCAGATGGCTGAGATGTCAGATTGGTGCAGAGCCCTTGCCAGAGCCATGTCGTTCAGCAGGAAAGGACGTGGAAAGGCAGGAGTGACTTAGCCAGGCTGGCCGCCTCGCCTCGCCTCGCCTCACTCGCACTGCTCTTCTGCACTGCGAAGGGGGGGCGTTCTAGGAGGTGTGCCGGAAAGCTTGGGGAGGGGAGCATTGTCGTGTTGTTTGCAGTGATATTTTCCACCCAGCCTGTGGTTTGGAGGAATTAGGGCATCTCCAGAGGCTTCTTAAAAATAAAAAACAAATACCTTCACAAGGCAAATTTGTACTTGTCTTTCATTTGTGGTTTCTTGGGGGAAAAAAATCAAGATATAATGGCTAAGGGTTTGATTTAGAATCCAGATCACATTACAAAATGGTGGTTGTTGGGGGGAAATTGGATGAGACAGTGCTGCCTATGGTGCTTTAAGCTGCTGGAAGAAATGCAAGATATAAATAACTGAATAGAGTACTAAATAATGTTTTGAAGTGTAGAATGTTACACGTATTTTTTTATTTTCATCATATGTGCGTGCATTGATTGGAGCAATGAAAGATAGAATAATGAAATAAAAATGTCCCTGTGGGGTTGTCTTCTGTAGTACCTCTTGATTAGACGCGATAGTAAATAGAAACTTACCCTCTAAGTTCCTAATGATACAGCCAAATATTTAACTTTCAGGCAAACTGCATAAAAATGTTGGTTTGGACAAACAGTAAGAAAGGAGTATGTGTGTGTGTATATATATTTAATTAATTAATTAATTAATTTTATGGGTAGCTGACTCCCAAAATATTGGGCTGTGAGAATTTGTTGAGATTCTCCTGCCCGAGGGAGGTGGTCTGCTTCCCAGTTCACGTGACTGATTGACAGGGCCTAAAAGGAGCAAGTTGGCACAGAAAGTGACTGTTTTCTAGATGGGGACAGAGGGAAGCCTCCTTTTTTTCAAGAGAGACATTGTGAACCCAGATATTTTTAGGCTTTCCACCTGGCTAGAGAAATCAAATTCTTTGTGGTCAACAGTATATTGACGATTAATGTGCATAGACTTGAATATGACGGTTTCGAACAAAAACACTTCCTTTGGTCCTCAGTGTGATTGTACATCACAGCAAGCCCATGTCTTAAGGTAACATTCCCTTTGTGAGAGAGCACCTGACCTCTTGTCAGGTGCAGCATTCTGTACATGTTTATTAAAAGTAATGCCTTTGGGCAGCTGTTTTAGTATAGTAAGAAAATGTTTAATCTCTTTATTTTACCAGTTAATTAATGTAAGGTTGGCATTGTAGGTTTCCACAAATACTGAGCTTCTTGAGCAGCAGAAGGCAAGAGAGGCCTGCCAAAGGGAGCCTGTCTCTCTTTTCCAAAAGGCCAGTTGTCTTGCGGGGACCGGAGAGGGGGTCTGCAGTTGACACTAAAGGCGAAGGAATTTGGCCTGTAGGGGAAGCAGGAAATTCAAATACATTACGTGGTGCCTGAGAATTCACAGCGGGTGGCTGAAGCGGGGCCCTGTGTCGAAGTGGCTGGGCAGGGGGAGCATGAACATTTTGTAGAAAGGGGAAAGCGCCCCAGCAGGTGCAGGTTCTGGGCATTGACTTGTCTATCCCGGCACTAGTTCTGAGTGTTCATATCCAGAGTACTCTCGATCTCCACTCTTCGTGGCTGTGAAGACCCAAGCGAGCCAATCGGGCAAAAAAACGCCGACGGCGTCCATAATCCGATGTTCCACCCTCCTCCACCGCACTCCCTCCGGTATCCCACCGGCATCCCAGTCACAGATGTTCCGCGCTCCAAATTCTGGATCCCCGGGAAGCAAGGCCACGACAGGTACCAATTGTGCTTTCTACCATCCCAGTTTATTAACCCACCTAACTGCCTGTGTGCCCCCAGGCCCCAAAGGGATGGCGTTGGCCGTTCCCCGGGGAGGCATGACCCCTTGAGAGGGTACCAGGGCACCAAAGAAGCCCACAAGGTTCTCGTAAGTCCCCAAAGAACCTGGCGGAAAAATTTCGACTTCTTTTAGCAGCCCCAGGGAATATGGGCAAGGTGAGGAGCAGAATGTCAGAAATGCTAAACTGAAGAAAAGGCGTTCTTAAATTGAGTGGGGAAGTGGGGAAGATGAGTGCTTTCATGAGTTTATAGAGATCCAATGTTGAGATTATTTTGATATTAACTTAGTACTGTTTTTATTGGAGAAAAAGACCAGAATACTGTTGGATTTCCTTTTAGTTTAGAGTTTTGTATTTTTTAAAAATGCAAACAATATAAGGATAATCTTTGATAAATCTTGAATGCCATTTATAATGTTCAACTGGAGGTATGTATGTATATGTGTGTGTGTGTGTGTGTGTGTGTGTGTGT